CATCTACCAGATGTCGTAAGCATTGGTGCTAATGCTCGTTTGCAGTTGATCCGAGTAGCCAAAGAGACCTTCAGAGGTCTCGGGCATAATGGTGCCATTATTGCTGGCACTGTTGGTGCCCAGTCTTCTAGACAAGCCTTGAAACTCACCAAGGACGCTGCGGAAGCTGGAGCCGACTTTTCTCTCGTGCTCCCGCCTTCCTACTACCCTGGCGTCATGACTCCTGATGCTATCCAAACTTTCTACGAAGAGGTAAGATATCCCATTTACCGTATGAAATAGTCGCTCATCGTAAAAGCTTGCCGACGCCGCCCCGATCCCCATCATCATCTACTCTTATCCCGGTGTCTGCAGCGGTATCAACATGGACACCGACCTTATCTGCCGTCTCGCCAGACATCCCAACATTGCCGGTGTCAAGCACACCGACCATGATGTCGGTAGGATCGCCCGTGAGACCGCGGCGTCCAAGAACAACGCATTCGGGTGCAAGTCCTTCCCATTACAGCCCGACTTTTTGCTGACAAGATGATAGCATCTTTCACAATCCTCGGTGGTGCTACCGACTACCTCCTGGGTGCCCTCGCGGTCGGCGGACAAGGTGCCATCACCGGTATGGCCAACGTCGCTCCTCGCGTTTGTGCAAAGGCCTTTGAGCTCGCCCAAGCAGGCAAGCAGCAAGAAGCTCTCGAACTTGCCGGGGCCATCTCGACTGCCGAGTGGGGTATGGGCAAGGGTGCGATCCTTGGTACAAAGTACATGATCGCTTGGGGTAACGGTTACAAAGGCTCTGCGGCGATTGCCCGGAAGCCTCTTCCCCTCGTTCCCGAAGCTACCAAGGAACACGTACGCTCGGTCGGTGAGGAGATTGTGGCGCTTGAACGCAAGCTCGAGGCGGAAGGCTGGGCTGGGGCTGCTATCAGGGCCTAGTCATATCGTCGAGTTGAAGGGACCATCTATGTTTACTTTGTTGAATCGTATCTCTTAGGGACACTGCTGTGACCGTTGTAGTGACTAAATGCATTGCTTGTTTTCGATCATGAGCAGCAAGGACATCCGCCCATACCCTCGTCCATCAGACCTTCTATACGCTCTATACGCTCCGAGATCTTGTCCATGGCAGTATTCAGGATATCTATTTGGCCTAGAATCGTGTCAGTAAACGATAATGCGAGCTCAATGAGCCTCACCTTGTTTGTACACAGCACAAGCCTTCACAACGTCCGCCCTCACCTTGCCCACTCCAGCCTCACTCTCCTCCAATTTTTCCAGCTTGTCATCCAACATTCCTCCCAGCATACCCAACACATCCATTTCCAGCTCCATTTCCTTGGCCTCCTGCTCATACATAGCATGCTCATCCTCGCCGTGCTCTTCCTCGCAATCATGATCATGCTCATCTTCACCGCCAGACAGCATGACTCTCATGACTTCCAGCAAAGATTTGGGAATCACTCCGTCTCTCTTCACTTCAAACCTCTCGGCAGCATCGAGCCCCTTCTCCTTGAGCTTCTCGGTCACCGCTGGAGGAAGCGACGCGCTGCCGAGTCGGAGGTTGACGACGTCGTCGGGGTTGGGGTCTAGTACGAAGCCGTAACCGAGTAGCAGCTCGTCGTTGGGTTTGGCGCCATAGTTGTTGAACAGCTGGGTATCGGCGGGAGATTCTTTCGTGGAGACGAGGGATATGGAGGGAATGGGGTCTGAGAAGATGGGAGAGGCCGTGAGAGCTGATAGCCAAACGATGGGCTGTCCGCGTGCGTCTGTAGGTCGGTGAGCTAAACCCCTTGAGGATATGTAAAGGGTGTACGGTTGAAAATGTCTACGCCAGGAAGCAGTATTGGCTTTGACACCCTGTCCTGACTAGAAGCTTGCGCCGAGACTTCACCATCCTTGGGCAGTTCAAGCAATTTGGAAGGGAAGGCTCTGGAAGACATGTAGGTAGCGGTGGCCAGATATCTGTCCCTGTCATCACTGTTAGACCTCTCTCGAGCTTGTAGAGAATGACATACCAAGTCAAACCCTCTTCCTTGAGAACGGTTCTGAGAACTTCCGACTCGGCAGACCACTCCTTCTTCCTATCCTGTACTGCTCCAAGCAGATTCGTCCCTTGCAATAGACTGAGCTCTTGCTCGTTGTAGTACAGAGGAGTGGTCAACTCCTCAGGGGGAGGAAGGGATGCCAGATACTTTTGGTGCGCCAGCGTGGAAGGCCATTCCCTATTTGAATCAGAACGAGCACCTCCCACGAGTGTCAAACTCACTCATTCGGCTTGTCCTCATACACCCAGTGCAGGCCAAGATATGCACAGATCCTCATCCTCTCACTCCACTCTTCTCCCTCTTTCGCTGTCCCTGCTGGCCAGACCAGGTCCTTCTCTTCCAGCTTTGCGATCTCGCAAATCGCCTTCGTCGCAAGCTCGCAGGTGACCGCCAGATCGAAAGGACATGAGACGTACTTCTCGTTTGCTCCAAGTGGGGCTTTGGAGAAGACTGACATGCCGGTGGTGTCGTCTTTCTGGAGAAGCGTCAAAAGTGTCCTGAGCAGTGAGTCCAAAACTCACTCTGAGCTCAGCAGAGGGGTGAAAATGTCCACCCTTGGCCCGGAGCCATTCGATGAGGTCTTCTGTTCTTGCGACTGGGTCTGACATGCTGGCGCTACTTGAGTCAATGCCAGTACAATTTGCTCTAGAGACGTTCAAGTCCGGTCGGCAGTCGTGGCTGGAATATTTGGTCCCGCTTCGTCGGATCCAAAAGTGCACCCGGGTAATGACCATCGGTCATCAAAAAGTTGGTTTACCTGCGATTGCTGACACCAACTTTTTCGGTGGCTGCGTATGCGAGGCAGGCCCTTGCTTCCATTTCTTGCCCAGGATCTGTCCCCATCTACACCATGGCTCAGATTCAGAACATCGTGATCATCGGCGGTGAGCTATTCGATCTTCATCTTGGATCATCGCTCACACTCATCTTGCAGCCTCTTATGCCGGCCACAATCTCGCCAATGCACTCCAGGCTACGCTCCCCAAGTCTCACCGTATCCTCCTCATTGATGCGCTTGATTACTCCATGTGGCCCATAGCAGCTCTTCGAGCGGCTGTCGTACCTGGTATGTCCTTCACATTGGCTATACATATAGGCAACTAATTTGATCTCGGTAGGATGGGAAGACAAGATCACTGCTCCTCTCCGTGACACGACTGTCTTCCCTTCTGGGAGCCAGCACAAGGTGATTGCGCCCAACAGAGTTGTAGAGCTGCGCGAGCAGTCGATCGTGCTCGAGAAGCCTTTCGAAGGTTCCATCGAGGTTCCCTTCTTCGTGAGTCTGCCATCGGCATTGAGGTACAAGCGCTGACCATCCTCAGCGATGTGTCATTGCCACCGGAGCCTCCCAACCATCACCTATGCGTGCCCCATTCTCTACCACCGAAGAAGAGTTCAAGCAATCTCTCCGCCAGACTCAGCAAGAGGTCGCGCAGTCGAAGAAGGTTGTCATCATTGGCGGAGGAACCGTCGGTGTCGAGATGGCCGGCGAGATCAGAGCTGTCCACCCGGAGATTGAGATCACAATCATTCACCCCAACAAGGCTCTTCTCGCGCCCGAGCCCCTTCCCAAGACGGCCAATGACAGCACCAAGAGCTGGACGAACCCGCCCACCGCGCCCAAGCTATCCAAGAGCCTGCAGACTGTTCTCGAGGGTATAAACGTCAAGCTCATCTTGGGCGACAGGGCCGTCATCCCTGAAGCTGGATCGGTGACTGACATTGCTCAATGGGACGGTACTGCCGGACCTCAATCTCAGGTCAAGAAGCTGTCTTTGCAGAGCGGAGAGCAGGCCGAGGCAGACTATGTCTTTGTCAGTGTCGGGAACAAGCCCAACACCCAACTTGTGGAGAGTGTGGACCAGGGCGCTATTACAAGCGGCCTGGTGGCTGTTGATGACTATCTCAAGGTAAGTAAATGTGTTTGATACAGCACGACAAACTGACACTGGTATAGGTCGCGTCCACTACCAGCTCATCTCCTCTCTCCAAGAACAGCAACTATTACGCGCTCGGAGATGTCTCTGCTGCTCCCGGGCCAAAGACAGCGTACCTTGCCGCCGAAATGGCCAAGGTCTTGGCTAAAAGGTGAGTCCTGATGGTCCATGGCGTGGTGCTAGGCTGACCATGCCATATAGTATTGTGAGCGAAGTCAACGGCAAATCCCCGATCCAGTACAACCCAGGAACATTCTCCATTCTTGTAAGTCTACCCTATCCCCACATTTGACTTGTTATTGACTGGATCCTTGTAGTTTGTACCCGTCGGCCCCAATGATGGCGCGGGATCCCTCACTCTCCCTTACATTGGCACTTGCGTGGTGGGAGGTGGTATGGTCAAGATGGCCAAGGGGAAGGATCTGCTCGTTGACATGTCCTGGAAGCCGTTGTGGCAGGGAAGCGAGAAAGTTGCCTGATCCAACGAGGAGAGACACGCTTACTTATGAATCTTGGGTTTGATCTAGAGTAATGAGAAGACCATGTATGTAGTCACTGATTCGCAATCAATGGCAATGAAGATACCGCCATGCGAGGCGGAGGGCTCCTTGTTCCGCCCTGCTAAGCCTCCTTTGGTAGTTAGTGTCAGCCATATCATCAAACGAGACTTCTCGACGCCAACAGCTATACGAACTGCACAGCCGATACCTCTTTTACTGGCAATGGCGGTCACGTATGATCAGGTTCGAACTTTTGAATTTGCAGTATCCCACAGCGTTCTTCAATAGAGTAGTTCGAGTGCGTGACTGCTGAAGCAACATCACGGTGGCGGAGATACTCGGCGGCGGCGGCGGTGGCGGGGTTACACCCGAGGCAACCATCCTCGCTGTGCAAGTGTGGAGTGCATACACAAACAAAGACCGAGTACAACCGTCGCGTCGGCCGAAAAGATGACTCGGGGATGGATGTTTTCTTATCAGATAAGATCCGGGTTGCCGAGGGCATGACGGCGGCATGCCGGTATTCTCGCCAGTCCTAAATAAGCCCGCCTTCATCCTGACTGTGTGCTTCCCAGACCCACCATGACCCACCAAGACTACAATAACATTATCATCGTCGGCGGTAAGCATCCACACGCCCCCTAGAGCCGTCCTCACACTTCCACAGCTTCCATTGGCGGCCACACCCTGGCCAACCAGCTCTACCCGGGCCTCCCAGCCGACTACCGCATCCTACTGGTAGAAGCTCTCGAGTTTGCATTTTGGCCCATCGCTGCCTTTAGGGCCGCTACTGTTCCTGGTATGTCTCTTTCTCCTCTCTTAGGTATTGATTTGACAAGAGTGCATAGGCTGGGAGAACAAGATTACAGTCCCACTCACACACGACCGCGTCTTCCCCGCCGGCTCTCAGCACCAAGTTCTCGCGCCAAACAAGCTGATGGAATGCAAGGCGTCCAGTGTGGTACTTCAACACCCTTTTGAGGGCTCTACTGAAGTTCCTTTCTGGGTAAGCTTTCTCGACTTGAATGTCGATAGGCGAAGAGCTGATGTGATGATAGAGATGCGTTATTGCCACCGGAACGACTCAACAGCAGCCTATGGTCCCTGATCTCTCATCAACAGAGGAAGAGTACAAGCAGCTGTTACGCCAGAATCAGAAAGAGTTGAGGGAGGTCAGGGATGTAGTGATCATCGGTGGCGGGGCTGTTGGTATCGAGTTTGCCGGCGTAAGCTCACCCTTCTTGCTTGAAAGTGAGCTGACAGTATTGGTAGGATATCCGCTGCATCAATTCCAAGGCCAACATCACCATTATTCACCCCCGCTCCGGCCTCCTGGAGCCAACGCCCCTCAACCCCGTCCCAGCCTCCACCACCGCAGTCCCTTCGTACTCTTCTCCACCTGTTGACCCGCGATTTTCCCACACCCTCGAAGGGCACTGCCTCAAACTCGACATTTCCCTCATCTTCCAAGACCGTGTGGCCATCCCCACACCAGAAGATGCTGACAGTACGGATGAAGGCGAATGGAAAGGAGAGTACGGGAAGCAACACGGGACGAAGGAGGTGAGACTCAAGAGTGGGAAGAGGGTGAAAGCGGATTATGTGATACTCGCGGCGGGGACGAGTCCGAATAGTGCGATGATAGGAAAGGAAGATGGTGGGGCGTTGGATGGAAAGTTGATCAGGGTAGACGAGTATCTGAAAGCAAGTTGACCTTTCTGAGGACAAATGGCAACTAATGAGATCAGGTGTCTTCTATCAACGAGGGCTCGATATTCAACGGCCAGTATTACGCCATCGGCGATGTGTGCAACGCACCAGGTTTCAAGGTAGCTAGGGGTGCCTATGTTGGAGCATTCAGTGCAGCCGCCAAGTGAGTCCTGCCGGGTCCTGATACCCAATGGTACTGATCGAACGCCGGCGGCGATAGCATCAAGGCTGAGATCAAAGGCAAATCTCTGACCAAATTCAGCCCCGGCGTGCAGGGCCTGGTGAGTATCCTGCTCTAGTCTCTATATTCTGTTCCTTGAAGCCTGATAGTAAATGCAGGGTATCCCGGTGGGCCACGATGAAGGGGCAGGTATGGTCACGCTCCCATGGATCGGCAATTGGGTGTTTGGCAGTACCCTCATTAGGCTGCAGCGCGGCAAGACGCTGGGTACGCCTAGGCATTTTGCAGGTAGTTTTCAAGGGCCGACGAAGGTTCATATCGAGTTCGATGATGTGTAGATAGAAGGCAGCTGAAGGAGTTGGACATAAGGGATGGTTCATATTGCGAATCCACGCAGAATGCATGGAGAGATGGCGGAAGTGCCCGCCCCGGTCCCCCGGTCGCTGCGAAGAGATTACGAGTAACGTCGCGTTACTTGAGATTGGCCGAGGCATTATCAATCCAGAGCTGATGTCCGTCTCGGATCCGGCCGAGAAAGGCTCGCGGTTTCGCTACCTTCGTCGGCAGCTGTGTGGCCATGGGCCGTGGGAACGATGATCAATCGCGTCTCCCATGCCCGCCGGCCAGGGCTGGGAACTCTTTTGTATGAGCGAAACGTCCGGTCATGGGTGGTTTGTTGTGTCAGCATATTCACAGACCGACCTCGGACATGCATACATATATTTATATATACATATATAGGTCTCCGCTCAGATTCCCCCACCCAGCAAGCACAATGTCAGCCGAGAAAGAGTACAAGAACATTGTTATCATCGGCGCTTCCATCGCCGGCCACAGTCTAGTCAACGATCTCTACCCTTACCTCTCGTCAGAGTACCGCATCCTCCTAGTTGATGCCCTCGACTTTGCCTTTTGGCCCATCGCAGCTATCAGAGCTGCTACCGCCCCGGGTACGCGTCTTCCTTTGTTGACTTGGAATCCTGGGTCGGGACTGATGAGGCGTAGGCTGGGAGAATAAGCTGACTGTCCCCTTGACTGACGACCGGGTATTCCCCGCTGGTTCGCAGCACCGTGTGATTGCGCCAAACAAGCTTGTAGAATGTAAAGAGGCTAGCGTCGTGCTCGAGCATCCCTTCGAGGGGTCCAATGAGATTCCATTCTGGGTGAGACTCTTCCCCTTCGTGCTAGAAGGACCAAGCTGATGGCTTTTGCAGAGATGTGTGATTGCCACGGGCGCAAAGCAGCAAGCACCTTTGGTTCCGGATCTCTCTTCCACAGAAGAAGAGTACAAGCAGCTGTTGCGTCAGTACCAGAGAGACTTGAAAGAGGTCAAGGATGTGGTAATCATCGGCGGAGGCGCTGTTGGCATCGAATATGCCGGCGTACGTTCCCCCATCCCCTTCCTTTCTTGTTCTCGCGAGTTGACAAGGCGTCCAGGATATTCGCTGTATCAACGAGAAGGCCAACATCACCATCGTTCACCCCCGCTCCGGCCTGCTAGAACCCACACCACTCAACCCCATCCCGGCATCCACCACCACCATTCCCACCTACTCTTCTCCCCCCGTCGACCCGCGCTTGTCCAAGAACCTCGCGGCGCTCTGCCGGAAACTCAACATCGAGCTGATCCTCGAGGATCGGGTCGTCATTCCCAAAGACGGCGAGGTAGTCGGTGCAGGAAAGTGGGAAGGAAAGTATGGAAAGCAGGAAGGGGTCAAGGTCGTGGGGTTGGCAAGCGGGAAACAGGTCAAGGCGGACTGGGTGATCATGGCGGCTGGTACCCAGCCCAACAGCTGGATGGTCGCCAACAAGGACGAGGGAGCACTCGATGGGAAGCTGATCCGAGTAGACGAGTACCTGAAGGTCGGTTCATCGGTACTATGGCGAACGACGGCGCTGATGAATGCAGGTCATTTCGACCAACGAGAAATCCATCTTCAATGGACAATACTATGCTATAGGCGACGTCTGCAGCGCTCCAGGTTTCAAGGCAGCTAGGGGTGCGGGGCTAGCAGGATCCAACGCAGCTGTCAAGTGAGTGGTCAAAAAAGATATCAACTTTCCCATTGCTGACCGATTGCAGTCTCATAGCCGAGATCAAGAACAAATCTCGAACAAAGTTCAGTCCAGGTATTATCGGGCTCGTAAGTTGACTGTTACAATCCTCATTAGTTCCAGTACTGACAAGATCATACAGGGTATCCCGGTAGGGCACCATGAAGCAGCCGGGATGGCAGCTTTGCCGTGGATCGGCAATGTGATGTTGGGTGGCGCCTTGATCAGAATGCTGCGGGGCGAGGACATGCTTATTTCAAAGCGTTTCGTGACCAGCTTCACGGGCCCCAACAAGGTTCATATTGATTTTGATGATGTGTTGAGAAAGTGAAGAAGGGGTTGTGACCTTGAGGCATGATTTAGATCTATTCGCCGTAATTTCGTAGACTTTGGTAGCGGTATGACAGGCTATACAGTTAGCATATGGGCAGACACATGTTGCGCCCAAGTATACAGTTCCTGAACCCTGACGGACGGCACCAGACAATGAGAGATGTGAGATCCATAGGGGCCATTCCGTTTCTGTCTCTGGGAATCGGAATCAGTGGTGTCTTTGTGGATCGAGCCGAACAGACGGACTTTTCTTTTGATGAATGATAGAATACTTCTCTGTTTATCTAAGAGAACAGTACATGCGTGGATTTCGCGCACTTTTTGAATAGATCAAAGTTGAGGCCAGGTTGAAGCTGACTGACCGACTACTGCCTGTAACTCAAGGAGTAATTACGCAGACCGAAAGTTACCAACATTTTTACACCCTCCCACGCCCACCCACCGACTCGAGTCCTTGCTTGTCCTCGAGATGCTCAGGCGTCGCTCAAGTCAGTCGCTGTCCATTCACCCCTAGACTACAAAATCAGCCGCCATGGTGAGCACACCGAAGCCATATCGATCCTGCGCTGACCGTCACTGTAGCCCACCATCTCTGTTGACAAGGCCGAGCTCTACCGCCGCCTCGAAAAAGAGTACAGTCCGTTGCCGTCCACTACAGAAATCAAGAATGGATGCTGATCTTGTGCTACAGCAACTCAAGAGTTTGACGAACTTTGTTTCGAGTTTGGTATCGAGCTTGACGAAGACGTTCGTACAATGCGTCATAGACAAGCTTCAGCTAACTTTTCTATCAGACCACCGTCGAGGTCGAAGAAGCTCGCAAGAAGGGACTTCCTACCTCTCCTCCCCAGCTCAAAATCGAGATTCCCGCCAACAGATATGACCTCCTCTGTCTGGAAGGTGTCGCCCGCGCTCTTCGCATCTTCTTGCAAAAGGACACCCCTCCTCAATACGCTCTTTCCAATCCCGAAAAGATCCAAGAAGTCTACGTCGAATCCTCCACCTCCCCCCTTCGACCCTACTTTGCTTCTGCCGTCCTCCGACTCGCCAGGCCCTTGAACCAGCTCGAATACGAGTCTTTCATCGACTTGCAGGACAAGCTTCACCAAAACTTGTGTAGGGGCAGAAAGTTTGTGGCTATTGGAACGCACGACTTGGACACTGTGCAGGGACCCTTCAGGTATATCTGCGAGGACCCTAAGAAGATCAAGTTTGCGCCCTTGAACAAGGAGACTGAGAGCACCGCGGAGGAGTTGATGGGTATCTACGAAGTGAGTGACTCTTGCAGATAGACCGGGGCAAGCTGATGTTTGATATAGGGCGACAGACATCTGGGCAAGTATCTGCATCTCATCAAGGATGCTCCTGCCTACCCAGTCATCTACGACAGCAACGGGCAGGTTTGCTCCATGCCTCCCATCATCAACTCTCAGCGTACGTTTCGAAATTGACATAAAACATGGCTGACCGCTTTGTAGACTCCAAGATCGTCCCTGGCAAGACAAAGAACATCTTCATCGACACCACTGCCGTCGACAAGACCAAGCTGTGCGTATACGAAATTCAAGTGAACAACATCTAATGCTTCCCAGTGACATTGTCATCAACATGATCTGCGCCATGTTTGGCGAATACTGCGAAGTCCCCTTCACCGTCGAGCCTGTGCGCGTCCACATGCCCGACGGCACCTCCCACATTTCCCCTCCCATCGCTCCCCGGGTCACCACCGCTTCCTCCTCCTACATCAACGCTGCCACTGGCCTCGAGCTCTCCCGAGAGCAGATCTGCACCCTCCTCACCCGCATGTCTCTCTCCGCCAAGCCGTCTGCCACCGACAGCGATGCCCTCGATGTCTCTGTCCCCTGCACCAGGCCTGACATCTTGCACGAGTGCGACATTATGGAGGATGCTGCCATCGCCTACGGTTTCAACAACTTGCCCCAGAGCATGCCTACGACGAATACCGTTGCCAAGGCGTTCCCTGTGAACAGGCTGGGCGACATTATCCGAAAGGAATGTGCCATGGCCGGCTGGATTGAGGCTCTTCCTCTCATCCTCTGCTCCCACGATGAAAACTTTGCCTGGCTCAATCGCCCCGACCCCGGAAACCTCGCCATCCAACTCGCCAACCCCAAATCCCTCGAGTACCAAGTCGTCCGCACTTCGCTCTTGCCCGGTATGCTCAAGACTGCCCGAGAGAACAAGGCTTTAGCTTTGCCCATGAAAATCTTTGAGGTCTCTGATGTCGCTGTGCAGGATGCCAAGGCGGAGAGACAAGCGAGAAACTACAGGAGGCTTTGTGCAGTGTACATGGACAGGAAGGCTGGATTCGAGGTGGCACACGGTCTGTTGGACAGGGTGATGCAGATTCTGAGCGTTCCCTTCATCGGCGCCAAGGAGTCTCAGGCAGAGTATGGTTACTACATTGCTTCCGCCGATGGTAAGTTGATTCCCAGCTGATCAAACACGAGTGCTCATCTATCACAGATCCCACTTATCTCCCCGGCCGAGCCGCCCACGTCTTTTACCGACCCAAACCCACCCCCGCCCCTGCTTCTTCCAACCCCCTCTCCGACATCGCTTCCGACCTCAAGGCTGCTCTCCCGGGTGCTACCAGAGATATTAATATCGGATCTTTGGGTATCTTGCACCCTAGTGTCTTGAACAACTTTGAATTGATCAGGCCTTGCTCGAGCTTGGAGATTGATGTGGAGCCGTTGTTGTAGTGGGATAGAGCTGAGTGGTATTATCGGAGAACCTATAGAGTGATATTGGGATGCCAGACATGCAGTTGATACTCAAACTTGCAGGCTTCATGTTCCGTCTTGTACTGAGCTTGTATTTTGCCCATCTCCCGCATGATATTCCTGCGCCCCACGCAATCGCATATGCACTCCTTCCTAAGCTCTCAATGTAAAGTCACACCATTATCGACATAGGAATATGAAGCTTGTGAGAAACCAACCAAGAGCATACGTATCCTGCCAATGACCGGAAAGACGAGCTCCGCGGTCTCTCGTGCTCCGTTCTGTGATGACCACAGTCAGCTTGGCCCGAGTCGCTTCTTAATTCTCTGAGGTCTCAGCGCAGCTGTTGCCAGTATGAATAGGACTACCACAGATGCCGAGTAGGACTGTCGCAGATGCCCCAAGGTTGCTTAGCGCGGCTGGAGCACATCAACCTGGTGGGCCACGTCTTCTCAATCGTGTTTCGCCTGTAACGAAATTCGCCTTCTATTTACACAAACCTCCTCCTGGGCGACTCAATCCCGCCGTGAGCCGAACCTAGATGCATACGTCTATGTCATCACAGACGTTAATTTTATATCTCCTCTCTCCCATGTCCGTGGGTCTCCTCCAAAGAGGCAGACCATCTCTCGACACTTCATGTAAGATCCATGATCAACATTCTCCGTCAAAACCCCTCCAACTCCCGTGACTTTGCGCTCGCATTTACTCCTTGAGGTTGTAGCCGACCAAGTTACGCCTGCCAACAATCTCGCCGATCTTGAAGATACCGTAGGCTTCAACGACCTGAGATGATTACACGTCAGCTTCCTTCCTCCGGTTGATTGTTTCTAAGACTCACAGCAACACCCAAACCAGCCCAAGCCCCGGTCTTCAGCAAGGTGCTCCAGTAGCCTCCGTTGGTCGCTTTGTGGTAGATCTCAGAGTAAGCCCGGGCCCAGGTGTTGAGCTCAAGGGGGGGAGCAAGCTTCTCGGCCTGGTAGACCTGCTTGGCAATGGAAGCGACAACCTTGGAGTTGTACACGATAGGTTCGCGGTAGGCTATAACAACAGATCAGTCCATTGTTTCCTTGACTATTCCGAGCGCGTTCCGAAAGCGCTCGTGCACCCCATTCTCGGAGCAGAATCCAAACGCACCACCGAGGGAAGCACCAATCTTTTCACCGACAGGACCAGCGACCTTCTTGACAGTAGCAGCCGTCTGGGCGTAAGCCTTGTTGGCGGACTCGACGGCCTTTTGGACGTTGGGGTTCTGGGCAGAGGTAGAGTTGAACCTCTTGCCGGCGAGACGGGCGGCTTGGGCGAGCTGGGGGCGCATGGTGTCGTGTCGGGGTATAGGGAAGAGGATATACAGAGATGTAAGAGGAGAACGGGATTAAACGGAGTTGATGGGGTGTGGCACGCGCGCTTATGTAATTATGTCGGCCATGCCCGCCTCTCCAGCGCATTCTCCTCTTTCCGTCTGCGTTCTTTCCGCCAGCTGCTATATTTCTTCGCCGGCTTTGGATTCCTTCTCTTCTCTACCCAGTCGTCTCGCCACCATGAACCCCGCCATTTCCAACCTCGTCCTCTCCCTCGGCGCTATGCAGGGTAAGTACACCACACAGCGCGAAGCACGCAATTGACCTGTGTCCAGTCGCTCGTAGGATCCCAATGGAGGACCCTCAAGTCGTCAACTACCTCCGTATCGGCTACGTGTCTGCCCAGATCATTGCCTTAGGTATCTACTACTTTATCACCCTCAAGGTTAGCTTGTCTTTCATGGAGACGCCGTGTATGTTCTGACATGAAAATACTAGATCCGGAGGAAGAACGACTTGACCGTCATCAAGTATGTCAGCCCCGCTTCTCCTACGGTGAGTGCTACGATCGTCCACGAGAAACTCTCTGATCAATGTTTAGAACCCCGACGCCAAGCCGGAGCTTGTGACTACGACCGTTAAGGATTATGATTTGGCCGAGACCGGTAAAGCCATGCGAAGCTTGCTTATCGTACGTCTGCTTTCAAACGCAGGAAACTTTTGCTAACACAATGTCTACAGAGTGTCGCCTTCATGTGCTTCCTCGTATGTTTTTAGTAATCGCGCCCCTTACAACGCTCACTCTCCACAGCACGGTTACATGAAGTACACCCAGCCGCTCTTCCTCCAGGCCATCATGGGTGTCAAGGGCGCTCTCGAGTCCAATGAGGCCAAACTCCACGTCTGGAACAAGCCCGCCGAGGCCGAGCTCGCCCGACCTTTCAAGGCCGCCCCCGGTTTGATGGAGCAGTTCACCGGAGCTGCTGCGGGTCCTCAGACCGACCAGGCTTCTATTAAGGCTGCTGAGAAGGCTGGTGGCAAGGCCGAGTAAGGCATTCGTATGTGCATGGGTATCAGATCTCAAATACTTGGAAGGGGGTTTTGTAGGGAAAAAGTACATATATTGGTGGTAATAGATGAGCTTGTTGTCATGCATCGGGACCTCTTCTACTAAGGAACAGCATTGAAGGGTACAAGAATATGCATTCTATACAATACGCTCATTAGATTGACAGCTAGTATCCCTGACCATGCTGTCCATGCTCCAACGCCTCCCTCAGCCCGTAGCTTGTCCTCCTGCCCCCCATAGCCACCTTCTCTCCACTCGCCGACGTCTGTGAGCTCGTCGACAGCCCCCTCGGCCTCGACTGAGGCGACGTGAATCCCGAATGGATTGTCGGGGGCGGCGAAAACGTCATGCTGCTTGTCCCGGGAGAGAAGGGTGACAAGTTGTTGAGCGAGATGGATGATTGAGTGCGATGCGGCTCGGCGCCGGCTGGTCTGACCGGTTGGCCGTGCGAAGACTCTTTCAAGAGGAACTCGACAAAGAGGTTGCTGAACGACTCGTTCATCGCAGCCTCCTCCTCGGCACTCTTCTCTGTATCCTGCCTTTTCTTCTTGTCCTCTCCACCTTTTGCCCCGCTCTTCCCCGTAGCGCCCTGTCTCTGCAGCCCCGCCTTTTCTCTTTCGGTATCGTCCCACGAAAGGATAGTGGACAAAAGAGAGAGTATTTCGAAGCGCTTGGTGTCGCCGCGGGGAGCTGTCAGGAAGGAGAGGAGGATGTTAGTCACGAGCCGGCGATCGACATTGTTGTCGGACTGATTCTTTCGTAATCTCCGCAACGCTTCTGTCAAATGTTCGTTGTTGATCACAGCTACCCCATATCAGTCACGAATCTCCAGAGACAAACAACAAGACAGCTCACCATCATGTCGTAATTTGGCGATAGCCTGGTTCTTCTCCTTGATATCCCGCTCCAAAGCAGCCACCTTCTTTGCATCGGAAGACACTTCTGATAATTGCGTCTCGGCGTTGGCTGCTCGAAGTTTAAAGTCTGACAATGAGGCAGCTGCCAGCCGCAGTTGAGTCTCCAGTTCATGCGTCGCTTGATCCAGCTCTGAATCTTTCGCTGCAACCATGCGTCAGAACTAGGTCTCTAGGCTCGCGATTGCTACTCACCAGCTTGGAATTCGCTCAATACCTCCTGGAGGTTATCCGCTCGTTCCCTCTCCTTATCCCTCTCTTCTCGCAGCTTCTCCACCTCCCCTCTCATCTCCCTCTCTCTCCTCTCCACCCTCCCCATTTCTTCCTCGCCCTCCTCTCTTCTCTGCCTCTCGCGCCCAGCCTCTTCCTCCCACTCTTCCCTTTCCAGCCTCAACCTCTCCATCTCTCCCCTCAGTTCACGCATCTCTCGTGTGAGAGAGAGTACATCGGAGGAGGAAGAGTCGGACTGTGATCGGATTTTGGAGAGTTGGGCGGAGAGGGAAGAGGACTCGGCTGTCAGAGATTGGAGCTCGGATTGGAGAGTTTGGATAGTATTTTGGAATGTTTCGTTGTCGGATGTGAGTGTGTTGATCTGTGTCTCCCGTCTATCCAGCTCTTCCTGCGAAACAATCAGCCCAGCCTTTATCCATGTTCAAGGACGTACAGCATCTTCCTTGAGCTTATCCCCCAAAGTAGTCCGCATAGCAGTGAGCTTGCCCAGCAAGCTTCTGTATTGGTTCCCAAGCGTCTCCTTATCCTGCCGTGTGCTCTCTAACTCCTCCTCCAGCAACTTCACCCGTTCTTCTGGTGACAGGTCATCATCGTCCACAGCAGCACCACCATGAGACGCTCCGCGGGTTTCGGGTACAAGCTCCTGAACGGCGGGCTCGCCCTCCTCCCCATTCTCATTCCCATTTTCTTGAGCGTCCCTGTTGCTGGGCGAGGCAACAGTGTCGTCGGCGACGAGTTGCTCGGCTTTCGCGCTGGTGCTAGCAGCTGCCTTGGCCGCCTTTGATTTTTTGTTGGGCATGCTTGCTCTATGCTCTAGGGGATCGTAGTGTATCTCGAGCGGGGAAGTGCTTTGGCGGTGAGTGTCGTTGCTCGTACTTTTATTGGACTTGAAGAGATCTGGAGGATGGATGCGGAGAGAGAAACGCCCAGTCGAGTGCCAGCAACAAGGTTTCCGAGTTCTGGCGCCTCCACCGCAGCCCTGCTGGCTTGCGCCTTATCTTTTACGCCTGGGGAATACATCAGAGGCGAGTCTTGTAATCTTCTGGATGTAGGTGATATATCTCCAAGCTCCAGGTGCAAGTCAGGCTGAAGGAAGCCTATGCACATGATCGGCCAGATGCTACCTCTGAACATACCATTCCACCAAAAACGCGTGTGGCGCGTGGCGCGTTTCCTGAGTGTCTTTCTTTCCTCTCTTCCATTTCCGGCGACCTCTCCATTCAAACGGGATTCATAGGCGACGTGTTCCAGGGAGTTTGGTTCTGGTTCTAGCAGTATCGATTTGGCCAACTGGAGAGCAATGCCCCACTGGCCACTTGCTCGTCGTCGGTTTCTATACCAGTTCGTTGGTTGGGCAATCTGGCGAATGACTGGCTGTCCTCTACCCCGTCATTCAAGCTCGATTTCAGAGCTTCCAAGCGCACCTTAGTATCACAGTCTGGACAAGTTCATGACCACAAAGCGGCGACGGTGAGTAATTCTTATATACATCGTTCAACAACAGACACACCGCGAAATATACTTGCTAATGTGATGATTATATGTCTATACCGAAACTTGACAGACTAGCTGTCGCCCGGTCACGAGTACCAGACTCTACATAACGCTAACTCTCTCCCACCCTCTTTCCACAGACACGGCCAGACAATCAACACATCAGATAACCAGAGAAGTCGACATGCACACCACACTCATTACCACCATCGCAGTGATCAAGGCAGAAGTATGGGACTGGACTGCGAGCTTGATGCCAGCACTCTCAGATTGAGAAGCCGAAGCGGAAGACGCGCTAGATTGAGCGAAAGAGGCGGTAGTGGACTTGGCAGAGGCGGCACCAATCACGTTGATGGTGTTAGTCGCAGTGGCGGTAGTAGAGGTAGACTCGTCGCTATATTGTTGTCAGCAGTTGATCGTAGGTCTTTCTATAGATATATGACTCACAAGCTTTGAGAGGCGCTATCCGTGCTATTGTCAGAGTCGGTAGAGTTGACCCATTTCGCATCTTTGTTGATGCTGTTGAAGCTTGTCGCAACCGCGCTGAGACGCGTCGCGTTAGCACAACCGATTTCATACCGGATTCGCATTGTACGCACCTAGAAGCGGATGTAGTGGTCTGAGCTTTGGCAGAAGTCCTGAAGGTGTACCCAGACGTAGTCCAGCTATGCGAAAAGGTGAATCAGCGCCCGAACTCTGCGGATGCACCGTTCAACATGGATCCCGACGCGTCGCGTCGGAACATCAACCAAATGTAGGAAATGAGACTTACTCGCTAGGCAGAGCGCTGGTACCCTGGAACCCATTGGGACCGGTGATGACAATGGTATGCCCATCCTGTAGTCCGTTGTCAGCATTTGGAAATCAAGGATGCAGTGGATGCACCGTAAAAAAACTCACATCATCAATACGCGTAGCGAGCCTTTGCCCCTCACAGAGGTGGGCGAAGAGGAGAGCAAAGAGAATGAAAAGAGTGTGGCGAAGCATCGTATGAGATGGGAAAGAATGTAGTCCTGCTACTTGATTATGAATAAGATGAAAGCGAAATGGAAGAGCAAATGCAAGAACAATAGAAAGAGAACATATGAGATTATTATGCGACGCGTCCTCTTTTGGTGGCGTTCAAACGCGCTTGGCAGGGTTCCAATCGCGGTTGTAACTCTGTAAGCTAAAACGTCTCAGTTTGTTTGTGCATCCCATTCCGGCAATTTGCCAGCTGAAAGCCAGTTGGACACTGCTTGATGACCCCACATGGTCATCTTTCAAGGCAAAGGATATGACGAAACAATGCAAGATACATACCAAGCGACGACATATTATTATTGCGGTTCCCGAGACTCATGCCACATAGCTTCTTCTGATTACCACAGCCCCACAAACCTCCCCGCCGTCCAAGCTATCGTCACACACCCCACAGGCAGAATACCCAGATACACAATCAGATCCTGCCACAGCCTCCTCCCCAATCGTCTCTTCTGCAGCTGCCTCTCTTTTCTCGCAAGGAGCACGTCCGTCGTAGGATCGCTCAGGCTACTGCTCCGAGAGTGGCCACCTTGCCCGCGACGGGGGAGCGAGTGAGTGGAGGTATTGGGAGGAGGGAGCTGAGAGGTTGATGGATTTTGACGAGAAGGGAAGATGATGGACAGGGGCGACCGTACGTGGAATGCGATGATAAAGAATAATGCTACACAAATGTCAGAGATGCGACTACATCCCATTCGGAGCGACTTACAAGGCAAAAACCATCCGACAATCAACACGCCCAATACACCCATCAATTCAACCTTGTCCGCAACCCAGCCCCCAATGCAAGCTAGTCCAACAACAATCACCCAGCACGCCAGCCCAACCCATCTGCCCGCTTTATACCTATCCCCTCCTTCCACATTCATCGCCTTCAACACCACATCTCTTCCGCGCAAGATCCAGATATTGGTCGAGCCCAGAGTCAGAGCGACTTGAAGAATACGAGCAAGGTTGAGCCAAGCATCGTCAGCGGGGAGATGGCCAAAGATGCCAGAGGGGGCGTTGGTGTTGGGACTGGATATCGTAGATGTGTTCGGGCTGCCATCTGAAAGAGGGAGGAGATAGTAGGGGACGAGAGCGAGGGGTAAGGCCAAGACCAGGATAATGGCTCCTGCGAAAAGGCAAGGCATGAAGAAGCTTGCTCGTTTGGAGCGCGCAAGAGTACCATGGATTGGGAGGGTATTGATATGGGGAGAGAAGAAGATGGTAAGGGTGGCTGAGACACATTAGACTGTGCAGATAGAAGCTCGAATTGACGACTCACTCAACCCAGCTCCTGCGCTACTTTTACCGGCCAATCCAAATCGCCTTTTTGCCAAATGCCCAAGTGCGTTACTGGCCACAGCCACAGCAGCTTCAGTGCTGTTGCCCGCATCTCCGCCTGTTTGGTCTGCCGCCTTTTTGATCTCCACTGTACGACCAATGACAAGGAAGGCAATGATCGGCAACAAGAGGGCAAAGAAGATGGGAGACCGGCGCAGGGATAGGCTCATTCGAGAGGGCAACAGGCTGGGGATGAGCTGATGATAAGGTGAGTATGGTGACATTGGTCATTCAATGATACTTACAATCGTAGAGCCCCCGATGGTCCACACGATTCTGGATTGGAAGAACTTGTTTGATGGCAGATATGTCTCGACCACCGGTTCCAACAGGGGGTGTATAGCTGCCATATATCAGGACATGCCGCCAATCTTTCCGGTCACCTACTTTCAATCCAACTAACGACCATACCCAGCACGGCGGTGATGAGAGCTACGCGTGCACCCCAGAGGCCATACTTACTGTACTTGCCAGTAACATTGGCAAATACGTCTTCGAATGACGGCATCTTGAGATACCTGTCAGAAGTTAGCCACCGTTCACTGTATCGGAAGGTGAGCGTACCAAGAGAGATAGACAATAACGATATGGGCGCAAACAGACAATAGAGCCAGGACACAGATAATTGGGATGAAGAAGACTACACCGGCTGGCAGAAAGTTGTATGGTAACAATGCCAGCAGTGGTAGCAGAGGCAGCGGGTGCGATAGTATTATTGATGGTATCAGCTACGGCAAGTTAGCTTGCAAACCACACAACCTTGTAGGGACGCACCTCTATCAACCCCTTCTCTACCTTTTCTTCTTCCCAGCCCTTTCTCCGTGCTCTCCTTCTCGGTCTACTTCCACGCCCCCTCACTAACGGCTCATCCACACCCGTGTCCATACTTTCATCATCATAGTCCAAGTCGTCCATGTTGTCAATGTCTAATTCAGCGTCGAGATCAGAAAGATCATTGTCGAGAAACTCGAGAGTGGAGTGCGATGATTGTGATTGACCAGAGGTCGACGCTGTCGGCGGCGGTGAGTCCAGCGATGGCCTGTCTCCTCCCTGATCTCCACTGGGGCGAGCGCTGAGGTCAAGAGCGCCCGTGAATCTGGTGTCTGTCGAGCTGCGCGTCCCCAAAGAGCTGCGCCGAGATCCAGTCTCAGATGGAGGATGGTTGAGGGTGTACTGCTCTGCAGTGAGGGGTGTGATGGGCGGGAGGGGGGACGAGGAGGGCTTTGACGATGGGCGGCTGGGGGTCGAAGTGGCCATCTAGCGAGAAAGTGGATGGAGAAGAAAGACAATGGCAATGGCAAGTGGGGAACCAGGGACGCGCGGGAAATTCCATGTCGCGCACGAACCGGTCATGGCGGCGGCGACCTTTGAGATGGCGTCGAGCACCTTTGCAAGATGTCTTCCATGGACACAATGGAGCCCCCCAGGCAGTCCACTTTTAAGAGGAATGCTCACATCAACTACTTTCGCCGATGCCTGATGGCGCTTCCAACGGCTGCTGAAGGCCATGATTCGAATCGGTGCGTCGCGACGCTGGTGACTGTAAGCTGATGTTGATAGTATCACGATAGCCTACTTTTGCTTGTCTGCACTGGACCTGTTAGGCGCTCTGCAGGACAAGACGAGTGAAGAGCAGAGAAATGGGTGGATCGACTGGATATGGACACTTCAGGCTCGCAAGTCCGCTACTGACTTCTTCGACCTTTATTATACTAACTCGTCAGCGTAAACAGCACATGGAGGTTTCAGAGGGTCAACGTATATGACTACACCAGTATGTCTAGGTCATAAAATTGACTATGAAGTGTGCTGATCCACCAAAGAACGCTTCAACTTCCCCCGCGCACCTCCCCTCGACATACACTGCCTTACTATCCCTCGCAATCCTCCGTGCGCCTTTGGATCGACTGGATAGAGCCGGCCTGGTAGCTTTCGTGAGGTCCTGTCAATCACCCAATGGATCGTAAGCTATATCGAACCAGTCCCTGCACAGCTAACCTTCCAAAAGCTTCTCGCCCACGGCGGACTCCTATACCCTTGGTGGCTTCCAGTCCGATGCTAGGATGGCATACTGTGCTTGTGCAGTGTCAAATATGATCGGGGACATGTCGGGGATTGATGTACCGCTGTTGAGGCAATGGATAGAGAGCTGCCGGGTGAGTATTCTGGGGGTAGGGATGGCGGTCTGCTGACGCTCTGTAGACGTGGGAGGGAGGCTATGGATCTCGGCCCGGGGTGATCGAAGCTCAAGGTTAGATCTATCTTCCATAAGTATGTGCCAAAGCTGAACTATGCTCATAGGAGGAACCACGTACTGCTCCCTCACTTCTCTTTCCCTCCTGGATCAGGACTCTTCTCATTCAACCTTGTCTCTCTCGTCGCTGGATCAGCGGTCCCAAAACGACTCAACGAGATGGCTCGTTTCCCGGCAAATCGGGGGCTTTCAAGGCCGTCCTGGAAAACTAGAAGATGTCTGCTATTCGTTCTGGTGTGGTGGTGCTCTAAATGTGAGTGTAGTCAAATCCCCCTGGCTCTGCGACTGACCCGAACAAGGTCCTCGGTCATGGCAACCTCATCAGCCACGCCGAGAACCAGGATTTCCTCCTATCATCCCAATCACCATTCGGCGGCTTTGGTAAAGAGCCCGAAGACTACCCCGACCCGTTTCATTCCTATCTCGCCCTCGCCGCTCTTTCTTTATCGAGTCTCGAGTCGTCGGTCGAGCAAGCAAGCTTAGGGTTGCGGGAGCTAGATGTCAAGTGGAATTGCAGCCGCGAGACAGCCAGGTATCTATTAGAAGAGATCAGACGGATCAAATCATAGCATGTATATGGACCTCCATGTATAACATTACGGGACATACCCCTGCAAGTCGCTCTCATGTCTGCACAATCTGCAGAATCGCCCACATCATTCGCCCTGCTTTGAGAGCAATTGTACAATTGATAACATAACAGTACAAAAACACCATGAACAAACATCTACGTGATACAAATATCCAGTATGGCAACAAAGATTGTACGGAACCTATCATCCCCTCTGCTTCCCAACAAAAAACTCGCCCCTAACAGGAAGCCCATCCACCTCCACATGCCCCCCAACCCCACGCACATCCACCTTAACAGCACTCACCCCCTTCACACCCGCCACAGCCCCGCCCTTAAACACCACCTTCGTCACAAAATCCGACAAGACACTATCCCTACCCGGGAGAATGTCCAAGTCGACATTCGTCAGCGGCGCGCGGACGATAAGGCGGTGGGGAGTTGCGGGGTCGGTAGATGGGGTGGTAGTGGAGGGGAGGTATTCTGGTGGGTTGATGTGGCCAAAGGCTTTGAGGGGGTATTCTTCGCCGTCGGGGATATCATCCTCCCCATCGGGCGGTGCTGGTCCGTCATAGACCAAGACATTGGGCTTAACGCCGTTCACTACTACTCCGACAGCCGCCATTTCCCCAGGCAGCTCTACTTCTGCAACTACTATCCCGCTGGCCTTCATCTTGCCATCTTCTTCTTCGATAGTCATCTTTTCGATGGTGACGGATTTGATGATCTGTGGAGGGGGTGACGGGCCTGGGAACGAAAGGTTGAGTGACAAGGATGGGAGGGTATGGAGGAGCCAAGCTGGGGGCTTGGGTATTTGGGTCTTGTAAGGGAATGAGGAGAGTCCGTGGACGATGATAGGTGAAGATAAGCCATGCAGGTAGTTCTGCAGGAATAATGACAAGGATGAAGTCTCGCCCAACAATTGCGCAGAATCGAGATCCGCAGTGACCTTTCCTGCAATGGTGAGAGTGATATTCTTCTCTGCCCCTATAGTCACGGGCTCTAGTATGACTTCTGCCATCTTCTCATCCCCGTTCGCATCAGGAAGAGATATCGAGAACGGCAAGCCGAATGGCATAGTGCTCATACTGTCCGACAGGTTGAGATGCCGGACAAAGTTTGGCATGGTGGCCATAGCAGTGATGGTCAAGTCAGAGTCGTGCTCGTTTGAAAGCGTATAGTTGTGAAGAGTGACAAGAGAAGACAGATCTATGTCATGTCTAGGGCGAGGGAGATGGGGTACGATAGGTACTGTAAAAGCCAGATGGTCAATCCTCTACTTCGCGGGCGCGAGAATACGGAAATCCAAGCCGTAAAACCAATTTAGGCAAGGTATGGATGGGGAACTATGGACCACATAAGAGAAAGAATAACATTGTGAAAAGACTCACTTGGTAATGACACATCGAATGCGAGATCTTGCTCCTCTACAGTCGCCCATGTACCCCACCATGAATGCTCTCCCTGGGCCAGGTGGGCCTCTATTTCTCGAATCCCGATGACAACGTCCAAGCTACCTTTCACCCACCCTTTCCTGATAAACTCCCATATATCACCCGTGTTGGCAACAGGCTTCGCGAGGGCGATGAATGAAACGGGTTCGAGCCACGACAAGTCTGGGTGCTCGGGATGGTATGCCGGTACGCCCGTAATGAGAGGCACGACGACCCTCTCGGGTAGCTCGACATATCCCAGAGGCTCGGGTGCGTCTGCGCCTGTGGGAAACACCAATATCCCGTCCTTCAAATCAACAGATACTCGGTCACCGACAGTGCGCACAGCCCAATGAGCACCTTTCCGCCGAACATTCTCCCACCACTCTGAGCCTGTGCCGCGCCACCCTCGACTTTTCGCCTGTTGCCTGTCGCTCTCAAGGTAGAATCCCTGGACCCCAAAGGCCTGGTCGGCGTCAATTCCGCAAGGAAGGGTAATGTTGAGCAGGACGCCTTGGTCGCTTATGTCGACAATGGAGATAGATGAAGGAGCGGTATACTCGAATGCGGTCTTGGGCAGCACTTCAAGCTCTGAGGGGGTGGGTCTGAACGATGCAGCTACCAGAGCAGCAAAGATGAGCCCTCCCAGGAGGAATACCACCCCAGCAACGGCCAGGCTGATGATGACGAGACGGGCACGAGGCCGTCGAGAAGGGGCGGGTGGCTCGGCAGGCTCGGTGGCGGCGGAATCGATGTGGGTGTAGGATGGAGGAGCATCGTTGATGAGGCGGGTGTGTTCGTCGGGGACGGCGGGGGACTTGGGCCTGGGTGGCATCTTGAGATGCAGGATGGGAAGTAGAAGGCAAAGAGAAGAAAGAAGTGTTCCCAAATCCCATGAGTATCGATCTCAAAGCAAGAAGAGGAAGCCCCCCGCGACTCGGGCATGCCGAGCGTTCTTCTGCTTGTTCTTCTGCACTTCAAGATTGTTATAGACTTGTAGCCGATACTCGCTACTGCATCACCAACATGGAGGACATCAAGCTCATAGCATCCCCTCTAACCCTGCCAAATGGTGTTCAAGTCCCAAACAGGCTCGTCAAGGTAAGCACCTCCCTCCACTTGTCGCTCAACTGATCCCAATGACAGGCTGCGATGGCAGAAGGTATCGGCCTCGCCGGCGGCCCTCCTACACCGGAACACGATATATTGTACATGAGATGGGTAGCAGGCGGATGGGGAATTGTCATCACTGGTATATACGATGATCGTGTCGCCGGAAGTTGCAAGAGCTCATAGTCTCTCCAGGGAATGTCCAAATCGACCCTAAACACCTCGCCTCCCCTTACGACCTGACTATCGACCCAAGTTCAGCCTCTCACAAATCCCGATACATGCACCTCGCCCTCATGGCCCACTTTACACCCGACAGACCTCTTATGATCATGCAGCTCTCGCACCCGGGGCTGCAATCGTCGAGCATCTTGAACTGCTCTCGCGCTCCGTGGGAGCCGGCGATAGCTCCTCTCAGTGCTAGACCGACCATGGGGGGTGGACTGTTGGGAAAGGTATGGCAGTATGTGGGCTGGCCTGTGAAGAGCCGGAAAGTGAGCGATGTGGGAGAGTGGTTGGCGATCGTGGAGCGTTTTGTAGAGGCCAGCGTCATGGCTGGCGATGCCGGTTGGGATGGTGTGCAGTTGCATGCGGCCCATGGCTACCTGCTTAGCTCTGTAATGTCACCTCTGGTAAGTGTCAGCCAAAAGTTGATCAACTTGGGCTGACTTTATTGCAGACGAATCCTGATCCTCCGCCTCTACCTGGTGTTCCGGAGGACGTACCTCTGAGGCTACATCTACTTTACCTCATCCTTAGGGGGTTGAAAGAACAGACAGCAGAGTTCTTCATCAAAGCTGTCAAGATCAACTGTTCAGACTTTGTACAAGGAGGTCAGTACTTCTAACAACTTGGCGCGCATACAACTCACACCCCTCCAGGCCTCGACGAAGAGCAAGCCTCCGATATAATCAGAGCCATCGTCTCTTGGAACCTCGTCGACATTATCGAGATTTCCGGCGGCACCTACACCAACCCCGTCTTCACCTTCTCCTTCTGCATCTCATCCACCACCTCCAAACGACAATCCCTCTTTGCACACTTTACCTCCAAGCTCCTTCCCACCCTTCCACCTCCCCCCAAAGGTCCGGCTATCTTGCTCACAGGTGGTCTACACGATAGATGGGTCATAACCGACTCTCTCCGTGAGCGAGCTTGTGATCTGGCAGGTATAGGCAGACCCGCTTGTCTGATCCCGGACCTCCCAGACCGGGTGCTTTTGAACCCAGATGTGCCCGGCAAATTCACCCATGTGGGAGGATACACAATACCCCAGGGCGACCTCGCCAAGATCCTGTTGGGCGGATCAAAGAAGGAAGGTAAGGGTATAGCGCTCGTGGGCGCAGGAGTCTCGACATTGTGGCATACATGGCAGCTCAGACGGATGGGAAGAGGCATCGACCCTGATAAGAAGTTGACATGGTTCAAGGGCTTGGTACAGGAGGAGATTTGGGAGGGGTTGGTGGTGAGAGGTTGGAGAAGAGTGAGGGGAACGAGATCTGAGGTATATCAGAAAGTTCAGTTGGGTTAGTTTGTATTCCAACTGCCACATCGATGCTTTGTTTCAGGGCGGAACCATGCATGCTTGGCGTCGTGTGTAGACATTGGCTACAAACAGTGACAGTGAATGATCAGGCGTCTCCCAGATCTCAGCTCCCTGCTGGGCCACGGTAAGGGACATGATTTCGATCAATTGAATGATGCAAGAAAGCTCCGAATGGGTTACACACGGCTGTCAGTCAACCATTGTCATGATCCGCCGATGACCTCCTCAACACTCATTTCGAATTGTGAGCTCACGAAGTCAGGCAGAACTCATACTGACATCTTGTGCGAAGCTCCGGGCCGCACAACGGCACAACACCAGACTGCGTGTGCTTGCCCTTGAGGCTTTGTAGTTTTGCGTTGCTCACCCATGTCTACTCTGTTCCAAAGGAAAGGACCAAAGTGAGGCCCAAGATCCTCAGGTGATGGTAGACATATGAAGCCAACCAAGCCACCAACCACAGGCTTTCACACAACATGGGCTAAAGCGGGTCACGGGCAACGTGGCGGGACCAGATGGGAGCCTTTGTGGGGTACTGCATGGGCTCCCTTTGCCATTTTGTTGCAGCGTGAGTCACCCCAAATGTCTCAATTCTGACTGAACGGCGGGTAAGAAAGGCCCCGAGCTTCACGGCAAGACGACTCCCACCACAGCAGGAACGCCCCCCGGTGGAAGTCACCACCAGGAACATATAATCGAAAGATGCGCTATGGCTGTGGCCAAAACACCCTAATCCATCTATTCTTTCAGCCATCTCCGGCCGGACCCCTGGCGTCATGCACTGCATTCACAGAACATCTTTCCTTTCTCTGAAATCTCTTCTTCGTGTCACTTTGACCAGTCTGACAGTCAAAGCAACCCAGACAAACATCATCATGCTCGCCGCGACCTTCTTGACTGTTCTTAGCGCTGCGTCTGGTGCGTATCAATAATGTTCTTATATCTCCGCAATAACAACGCATCATTCCGAGCTGACGCGTCTATATCTCTCTCAGCTGTCGTTGCCCTCCCTGGTCACTCCCTCAGCTCTCGAGGGTACGACGTCAACGACATTGATGCTTCATGCCAATCCACCTGTTCATCCACCGTCACTCTCTACCAGTCGTGTAACGGAGGCACAACCTCTGATTGCCTCAAATTCTGTGCGCAGGACACCTTTTCCGATTTCATCACCTGTGCCCAGTGCAACTTGAACGCGAAGAACGGCACCGAGAGCGACATGGAGTCTGTCGAGTCTGCCATCTCGACCATCAAAAACGATTGCTCCTTCTCTGCTACCGCAGTGACTGGGGACGTGACGTGAATATCTCCTCCAACATATTTGCACAGATGCTGACCCCCCATGCAGTAGCCCCGGGGCCACCGGCTCAGCCACCTCTGGCAGCAACTCGGCAAGTCCCGACCCTCTTTGTGCAATCAGATAAGCGAGGATAGCTAATCCAAGACTTTTTTCAATAGACTGCTGCAAGTGCCTCGACTACCGCCGCTAGTTCGGCGAGTGCTGCTGGCAGCAGCGAAGCCAGCGGGGTGGCCAGCTCTATCAGTAATAGCAGTTCGTCTTCCGCTGGTACCCCTTCTATACGGCTGTTGGCTGGCAGCGCCAGTGGTATCGCTGCGCTCGCTGGCTCTTTGATGTTCTTGCTGTAAGGGACCCCCTTTATAGACTTGCTAGACGCAAGTTTCCGTTGGATAGTTTAATTTATGATTTCCTTTTGAGTAGTATACAACTACGGACACTTTCGATACCTTAATGTTTCACACATCCCCATATGCATAGGCATTGTGACATTTTGCTTCATAGCCATAATTCATCTGTCCGAGCGAGCTATTCACCTCAGTCCGCAGTCTGATCTTCAATCGAGCTCATGATATTCAAAAAATCTGTGATACCCCTATAAGCTTGTGATTTCGCAGAGACGACTGACCACTCACCGAGAAGGTAATCTGCGATCCCTTGTACACTCGAGTTGACTTCTTCTGCGGGGAGCGCGTCAAGGAGTGTTACAGCCACGACTCGGATTTTGGTGACGACTGATGGACCATTGGCGGCCAGCTAGAAGACCAACACATCAGTATCTACTTCAAAGCTGAGGAAGATAAGCTTACAGCCTGTATTGGCAGACTGAAAAAGACCATCAGCCATCTCCCCTCGTCGCAAGCAACAAGACTCACCAATGAACCGTGTTGAACAAATCCCTATACACCGACTGCCGCCAGTCCGTACTCATCTCGCCCAGATCAGTCGATACCAGCTCTGCCGCATACCGACTCGAACTCCCAGGCTGTCCGCTCTTGTTCAACAAGTCTTCCCTATGAAGTCTGTTTTCACCCATCAGCGCCATCCTTGGCCAAAGCGAAAGACCTATGTACATCAATCTCAACCTGGTCATGGCGAGGGTGACGTGGATGTTGCCTTTGAGTACGAGATACCCGTCTTTGGCCGTCTCGGATGACATGGGATCGGCGAAAAACAAGTCCAGCTCGTCTCTGATCGCTTCCTCCCATCCAGGTTCCGGCCTAACGTTTCTTATCAGCAACCTCTCAATAGATCGCCTGATTACTCACAAGATACTGCTGCTTTGTCCAACATCAAGCTTGAACGGTTTCGGCAGGTTGTCGGCGACTTGCTTGATCTGCTGTTGCAGTTTGCGCACTTCTTTCAGCGCGGCGAGTAGTTCTTCAGGATCATTAGGCTGTCGACGCCGCATATCCCGCTCCATCAACAGGATCTCCCCAAGTATGCTTGAAACCGTTATCAGCTATTGGTTTTGAGGCGTGGCATTGGTGCTTACGAGACGATACGAGTCAGAATGTTGAAGCCGCATATCAGAGGGAACGGATTTGAACTGGGCCGGATCCCTTGGACAGTGATCGCACTATCATCCCTACACACTTCCCATCAGCTCCCCCCCTCATCGTTACAGTATGAAGGTGGGCATACACTTCGGCAGGAAACAAAGTCGACTCGGGACCCAGAAATTCGTCATTACGCAACAAGACCGGTTTATGTCGCGCAACAGCTTCAAACTTGTCGGCATTGTAGATGAGAAACCAGATCCGGCGACCTCGTTCCGCCGTGATGGGGTCAAAGTTGGCATATGTCTGAGAATCGGTTAGTTGAGATGTAAGAGAAGGGCCGGGGGGCTTACGTCCTCGCGATGGAGACCCAGGCTGATGGCGAGATATTGCGCTTCCCCGAACGTTGATGCTTCCAGCCCCGCGTTCCCATGTTTCTACACCACCGTCAGCACGCTGCTCCCACCTCTCAAGGAACAGAGGAACTTGCATTATGCACCACAAAGATCAAGTACTTGATACAGATCAGGTCCACACTAATCTTGTCCATCTCCCGGATCGTGACGGCATAGCAAGCCTTCAGACATTTGACAGAGAGGCGTCGGATACTATCGTGGTGGTGGGCTGGGAAGAATGATTTTGGCACCTTGTACGACGTACGATCAATATCAACACAACAAGCGGGGGGGAGTGCTCACGTGGATGAGGGTCGCAGCGATCATGGCCATGATGAGCGCAAAGAATACCGGATTGCGCTCTTCTGCGTGTGCCGCCAGATCCGCGTTGAACGACGGCCGGTGTATGACCGGAATGATACAGTACACCTAGGGCCAAAAAGTCAGCTTGAGGCCTTACGCCTATGGAATAAAGAAAACTTGCATGGTCAAAGTAGATATGGATACAGTGCATTGCCAGATCGCGCGGTAAGACCGACTCGATAGTCGTCGTAGGCGGCACCGAAGCTTCAGACAACGCTATCGACGGCGAGACGCCGTCTTCAGGCGACGGACCAGCCGGCTGCTGTGGTCCATCTGGCGCGAGGTTGCAAGTCGGCGGATACGGCGGATACGGTCCGGTATCGTGTCGGACAGAGGAAGGAGGGTCCATACGCGGGATATCCCGGGAAGATGACTGGGGGTAGTGTCTGCCCAGAGATGATTCGGCATGGGCGGGGTGGGAGGGGTCGGCTGGATGAGCGTGGGCGGCTGGGAGGGGGGGTGGGCGGTAGTCGAAGGCAGTCGGTTGGGGATGAGAGTTGAATGGTTGGTACCGAAAGTCCGACTATCGACGTTCCAGTCAGACATCTTTGTAAAGACACATTACTCACCAGCCCATCTTGGGCGATCGAACTGCCGAACGATGCCCCCGGAGCCGCCTCAAAAGCCCTCTCCCTCTGTCTATCGTCCCTCGACAAACCCTCTCCGACATGGTTTGAGCTGCCATGCTGCTCTGCGAGTAGACCACTACCGGTCGCCTGCTGCTTGCGAGCCCTCTGTTCCTCTGCCAGCTGCTCTACAACCTTGTTCTTCCGCCCCCTTCGTTTCCGCTGATACAAATAGGAACAATCAAGACTCCATTCCCGGCAATGCTAACCCTGCACATCAGCTCACAGCCCCCCACCCACAATGTCACAGCAAAACGAAAGACTCACGTTACAAGGAACAGTCGCAATAGAATCTGGCCCAAGTTCAATCTCTTGCGGCCGTCCCGAGCATTTCAGCTTACGAGCTCTACAGGCGTCACAGCTCGGGGGCTGCTTCTTCTCCCCCGGCGCGCGGGAGTTGCCAGACTGCCTGCTATCGGCTGCTGCACTGTCGTACGGCTCATGAGCAGACAAGCGGCGGTCGGCGAGAGGAGAGAGGGAGGGTGTTCTGGGCATGGTTTTTGAGGGGGATTTATAGGACGGTGGAATGGTGGAGAATTGGTGGAACTAGGTGGGAAAATGGCCATGCATGTACCGTACGAGTGCTCGAGTAGAGTACCGGGAACACATGACCCGTTGTTTGGTCACCCTGGCTTTTCGGCAACGCTTCGGCCCGTCAATGCCGCTCATTGTGGCGCTCGGCATTCTTGGTGAAAGTACAAGTATATGTATGTACAGCTGGCCATACCGTGCAGCTCGACCCTGTTCATAATGCACATCCAAGAACCATGCAGCCGCGTTCACGCTCAATACGCTCGCCTCTGATATCCAAACCACCACGTTGCATTTCCTATCTATTCGACTACAAACAAACTCCCCATGACAAAGTCAAGGTCGAAAGCTATCGAAACAAGTCAGCGTCTTGTTTAACTGACAGTCATTTACAAGTAAAGAATCAGACAACGGATTGTCCTCCGAAGAGGATAGGTTCGTTTCCGAGGGGTTGTCGACACGCATGGATGCGGGTAGAATCCCATGTTCATCATAGAAAAAAAGAGTGTATGGATGCACACTTACTCGATAGTTGATCAGATCAGAGAGACGAGCGAGACGATTATCGGGACTTGAAGTCTGCACACATGATCAGAAAACACCCTTTACACGCACACAAATCACTTACAGTCAAGGAGGACCTGGAGGGCCTCAGAGTCCTCACCGTAGTTGGTGACGACGACACAAGAGCAGCCGACGACCTTTCTGGGCTTGCCCTCTCGGTCGATCTTGGCGAGACCGGCCCACTGACCAAGGACCTTGGCGTCAGAGACCTTGATGAGCTGAATACCGTGCTCGGTACAGAGAGCCTCAATGAGCTTGAGGTACTCGGCTACAGTATCGTCAGCACAACCCCCCGCCAAACAGATATAAACGCACCCTCGGTGACGGTCTCGACGAGGACACAGAGGTGAGCCTCCTTCTTGTCGAGAGCCTTGGCGCACTCCCTAAGACCTCGGGCAAGACCATCGTGGACAAGGGCGACCTTGATGACCTTCTCGAGGGCGTCCTCGACGGACATGGGGCCGGACTCGGCGGCGACCTCGACCTCCTGGGCCTCGACTTCGGGGTGGTTGGAAGCGGTTTCAGATCCAGCGTCAGACATTTTGCGTATAGTAGCCTTCGTCCACTGGTGTTTTCTAGGGAATATAGCGAGCGCGGGGTGCCAGGCTCAAAATTATAGACGGCGTTTGCGGCGGAGTTTGCCTGGGCGGTGTGGCGCGTAGTTACGGTGTGTAATTAATTACTAGTTAACATGACGTATCTGCCCTCTTTCTTGTTCACTCTCTCTATACTCCATCCACGATGCCCGCTGTTGATCCCCACTACCTCTGGGCTGCCGGCCACTTCACGGTCCTCGCCGCCACCGCCCACATCGTCCTCCAGACCCTCTTCTTCCGCGGCACCCCCGCCCTCACCTACAAGCTCGCATACTCCGGCGCCCTCCTCTCCTACTTTATCGTCGTCTACAAGAGCCTCGGACGGCCCCAGGCATCCCAGGCATGGCTCAGGCGTGCCCTCGTCGATGAGAACTGCCAGTACGCCCTCTTGGCCCTTTTCTGGTGGGTCGCCAAGCCCGTCAACAGTAAGTCCCTCTATGACGATATGTGTACGGTGGCTAATCAATTGAATAGTCACCGTGTTGCCCTTTGCCACATTCTCATTGTTCCACTGCCTCACCTTCCTCCGGACAAACATCATCCCCAAGCTCGTCCCGTAAGTATACAAATTGACATCGCTGTGATGTATCATACTCACAACCTGTATAGCGCTCCCGCTGCTCCTGCCGGTGCCGCTGGCGCTGCTGGTGCCCAGCCTGCCCGCCCCCCCGTATTCCTCGAGACCTTGTCCCGCAAGATTCAGGTCTGGGTCAAGTCCAACTATGACACCGCCATGCGTTTCGTAGCCTACACCGAGATCGCCATCATCTTCCGCCTCCTCGCTGGTGTCTTGACGTACGCCCCTCCCATCCCCCCCTCCCCCACGAACCACGGTACTAACCCATACACACACAGCCTCCGCACATCATTCGTCACATTGATATTTATGGTCCACTTTGTGCGCCTCCGATACCACGCATCACCCTTCACCCGCGGCGCCATCACCAACATTACAGGCCGCATCGACGGGTTCGCTGCCGGCAAGGGTCCCGGTGTGCAGAACGCGTGGTCGACTGCCAAGCGGTTCATTGGTTCCTGGGGAGGTATGCCTCTCTTGCCTGGTGAGCCTGCTGCGGCCCAAGCCCAGGGTCCTGGTGCGCAGGCGGCCGCTGCTAGGAGGTAATTGCAGCTACCAGTATAGCAGAGGTAGAACTAGTACATAAAGATGTATCAGGTGACCTCTTGTGGTGGAGGGCCGTCCATACAGGAAGACATGCCCGGCGACGAGGTGAAGAGATGCAAATGTTCTATAGCGAAGAGTAATTAGACGAGGCCATGCAGTTAATAAGACTCGGAGTTGCCCCGCGCGTATACCACAAGCATTGGTGTACTGAAAGGGGGACGGCTGGCACTCGCCTTTTGACATCGGCAAGAGACATATTTGGTTCGATACAGCCATGGGTCGGCCATGCATATGGAATGGTTTTTTATGTTTTATCAAAAGCCCCTCCTTCATCGCCCAGAACATGTCATCAACACTCTGCACAACACATCCAGCAACAAACTAATGGTCAATGATGGAAAGGTTGCCGGTGATCAACTTGTTCTCAAGGTTGGTACCGTCGGGAATCACAATCTTGTTACCCTCGGTAGCAACAATGATACAGGTTCCCGCAAGTCGCACACCCTTGCCGAAAGACACGTCACCGGAAACGGTAAGGTGGTCGAGCTCGGTAATGTTGGGGATAGACTTGAATCGCTTCTCAAAGTTGGCGACCTTCTTGAACTCGTCACCGAGCTTGACAACAGGAGTTCCACCAAATTCTCGAGACTTGTCCATGGTAAGGACACCGTGCTCGAGGTTGTAGAGCTTGGACTTGATGAGGAGCAAGTCGCTGCCAAATCGTCAGACACGGGCCTATCACATAGACATCATGTACTCACGAGCAAGACTTGACGGGCAAGAATCGTGATCGGGGGACGTTGATACCGATAGCAGAGTCAAAGTGCTAGTAGCCTGTAAGTAACTTTGCATACAATATTCAAAATGGTACACACCTTGATAGCGGCACCGATGGCGGTCTCAAGCTGAATGACGGCCTGACCCTTGTCAGTGACCTTGTTGTTGACAATGATCTCGAGGCTGAGCGCGTCCTCATCCATAACCCTCTTGATAGACTTCAAGTTGGCCCAGATGTTGTTGGTGTTGACTGATCCGATATGAGCTTTGTCGAAAGTGATCAAGAGTAACACTCACAGATCTTGAACTTTCGGGTAGAGCAGAACTCGTCGAGGTGGTCCTTGGGGACCTGGGCAACCTCGAGCAACCTAGCCTTACCGTCGTAGTCGATGATGGTACCACCCTTGACATCGGCCTTGGTCTTGTCGGTGACCTCCATGACGTACTCGGCCTGAGCGTCAATCATGGTCTGCATGATGTTGAGGTCGACGACGGCACCGAGGTTGTCGACGTTGGAGATGAAGATGTACTCCTTGCCGGCAGCGATGAGCTTGTCGAGGAGACCAGAGTTGCTGCACTGTCGTCAGCGAAACACGCCGAGATATCAAAAGCCAAAGATAAACTCACGTCAAAGCATCAAAGATGTCACCGTGTCCAGGGGGGTACCAGTTGGTCTTTTCGCTTTCAGACTCCTGGGGGCAGGGAAGGAGAGACTCCTTGTCAACTCGGGGGTATCGAGACTGGTTGAAAGTGAGAATATTGATGTTGTGGTTCTGGTACTTTTGGATGATTCGGGCAGTGTCCTCATCAGTGTTGAAAGAGTTCATGAGAATGAAGGGAACGTTGACGTTGTACTTCTCGTTCAAGTGCTGTTATTGAGACGGAAGACCGGAGCGGGCGCGACCCTTAAATCAGTAATCGGCCCTGAATTCGTGACAAAAAGCGAACGCACCTCGATTTGGCGAACCGACAAGTCCAAGAAGGTCATGCCCTCCCTGACCTCGATGATGGACTTGGGACCAACACAGCCCATGGTGGTACCGAGACCACCGTTGAGCTTGAGCACGGCAAGCTTGTCAAGGATGGAGGGGTCGACACCGTCGAGCTCCTTGTAAGGTCGAACCTGCTCAGGCTTGGGGGGGTTGATCTTTTCCCAGTCACTGTGAAAAGATCAGCTAGGCCACGAAATACAGCATAGATACATACAGCTTCTCGCCCTTGGCACGCTCGGTGAGGAATCGGTTGAAGAGGATGAAGAAGGACTGCATCTCGGCCTCAAAGATCTACGCGACGCGTGATCAGCTCGCGTTCATGAAAAGTTCAAAATACACAGTGACAGTGGAAAAAGCACGTGGGCATATCATTGAGCAACAGCCTAGATAGGCTGGAGATGACAGAACACGTCAACGTACCTTCTTCTTGGTGGGGTCCTGCACGTTGGCGACCATCCTGTTGAGCTCGTTTCGCATGGTCTTCGCAGCGATACCGGTGGTAGCGGATTTGAAGTCCTACAGTCATGATACGCACGATGCCAGTAGTGAAGAAAAGGGTTGAGAGAGAAGCATTGACAGTCAGCAAGGGTGAATGTTGACGAGTATAGAACGTGTTGGAACTCACAACAGCGGAGTGACCCCTCTGACGGGCAGAGGCCTGGTCCTGCTTGGGTTCGAGAGTAGCCATTTTGTGTTTGTGGTGGGGGAAGTGGGAAGCAGAAGAAGAAAGAGAAGAAGAAGAAAGAAAAGAAGCGAGATGCTGGGATGGACGAGGCGGTGGGCGCGGTGGGGACGAGCGCTGAGCTGGCGGGCGCGAGTGACTCAGGAACCCTAACAGGGGGGGTTAATGACGCGCTACTCCTCAGGGTATTTACGTAACCCTCAGACCGCCACACGGGAAGCGGGATGGGCAAGGGGGAGCAACTGTGCAACATACAAGCATGCATGCAGTAGAGGCTTGAGTATGGGTCTACTGTGGTCTGCATGTAAGGTCTATAATTGTTTATGCGATTATGTGGTAGAGCTATGTAAATATGATCTCTTCTGCCTGCGCTGCCATTTGCACCGTTTCACCAGAGCAATCTATGGCGTCTATTGTTTCTTGTAAAGTGGTCGGATCTTTATGAGCCTGGAAAGGGAGTAAGCTCCTGCTGCCAGATTATATGCAGCTGTCGGAGACTCACCAAGTGAACAGGTAACAGAAGAAGACGTTGGACAAACACCAGACAATAGTCAACGCCCAGTCACGCCACATCGTCCCTCTAGAGTAGCCCATGTCCTGGACATAGTCGTATCCGGTACTGCTGGGACAGAACTGGCATGAAGTGGTAGCTTCTGCATCCAACAAGAAACCAGAGGTCGTCGCGATATAGTTGGCCGCGTAATCTCCACACGTCTGGCCATCCGGAGGGTTGAATGTGAGCAAGTCGGCATCTCGGCAGTGTAGCTCGAGGTCCGACAAGCCGCTGGTCATGAGAGCGCTGAAGAGGTATCGAAGAGGAGATAGCCACTGTTATCCAATGTGTGAGCACACGTTGAAAGACCAGAAGGTGACACTTACGCTGAAGAAGTAGTGGAATGGGGCCGGCAGACCTTCGTAGAAGACCAAGGCCCAAGAGAGGACGTTCAACACTGAGGCATCTTCAGTAAACAGTCACACAGGGTTGATGATACTCACAGTTCCATACGAGAGAGAGCACATAAGGAAGCGACATCTTCTCCGGCGATACAGCTCCAAGAAGGATCCCGAAACTCGACGTGAAGAACGAGCAGAGGACGAAAGAGAGCCAGACCAATACCCCATCTGACGTAGTCCCCACCAGTCCCGAGGTCCAATAGAAGCACAGGAAGAGCAGGTTGTAGCCCACAAAGAGCACGGGGAGAGAGACGACGAGTAGAGAGGTGATAAGAGCTTGCCAGGAATAGATCCCCAGTCTTTCTCGCGCCAAGTACATGTCTAGTTTGAAGAGATAATTGATACCGATGTCCATAGCAATCCCAGGGATCGATTGGACGGCAATCAACAAACAGAGCGAAGCAGCGGCCATGGTACCTGGTGTGTGTTCGAGCTTGAAGAAGAAGAATCCAGTGTAGAGGCCAAAGTAGATCATGATGACCATTTGGGTAGTCCAGAATGATCCATCTATCAAGTATTAGCAGTGCATCTGCAAATCGAGACAGAAAAGCTCACCTCGCCATTGCGATCTGAAGTTTCGGACAATCAATTCCCTCGTCTGAGTCCTGAACGAAGACGCATATGCGTTACTGCCTTTCTCCACGGCAGATGACTCGTGCTTTTCCACGTCGGCAGACTTTTGAGAGTGACGAGAAGTGAATCCTTGGATCTGGCGTTGAATGTCGGCTGCTTCGGCGCTTTCACGCCAGAGCCCGGGCCAATCGATGTCAGTGCCTCCCACAGGGGATACGCTGGAAGATGGGTCAGTCAACAGTTCTTGCAGCATGGAGAGGTACTCACGTATCCAACAGGACCTCTGCAGGGTTGGCATCAGGCGGGCAATTGGCCCCTCTGGATTCAAAGTAATCAACAACCTTTGCAGCATTCTCGCCAGTCTCTCCCATGTACACAGTGTTTCCACCCGGGGCCAGTAGAATGACAGAGTCAAACATCTCGAAAAGGTCTCCGGAAGGCTGGTGGATGGTGCAGAGAACGGCGAGTCCGGAAGCAGCGATTCGCTTCAGGAAACGCACGATCTCGTAGGAGGCCTGGGAGTCGAGACCGGATGTCGGTTCATCCAAAAAGATGAGGAACTCGGGGTCCGCAGCGAGCTCCACGCCTGATGGTACAATGAGCAACGCTATCTTTCGACGATTCGAAGTACTGACCAATAGTGACACGTTTACGCTCTTCTACTCCAAGACCATCCTCGCCGGGCATACCGATCAAGGCATCCGCAATGTCCGTCAACTCCAAGAGCCTAATGATACCCTCCGCATACTCGAGCCTTTCCTCGCGGGTTCTATTGTTGCTCTGCCGAAGCAAAGCTGAAAATTGAAGACACTCGCGGACAGAAGCCATGGGCTCGTGGATGTCGGACTGCATGGCGAAACCCGCTTGTCGAGAGAAAGAAGCATCGAGGGGTTTGCCGTCGATGGTCATCTTGCCTTCTACTTTTCCCACAGTCTTTCTCAAAGAGATCGTATCCTAACGGTCGGTCAGCAGTGTTACACTACTTTCAGCAAGGGACATACCAGCAAAGTGGTCTTTCCAGCGCCTGACGCTCCCATCAGAGCAGTCAGCGATCCTCCCTTGACAAATCCGCTGATCCCATTGAGAAGCTGCTTGTCTTGGCCATCCGCCTGCACAGTGTACCGCACGTCCTCAAACGTGTAAACGGGAGGCTCGCTGCCTCTCTTGTCTGGTCCATTGATCTGCTCCAAAGCAGCTTTACCTTGAGCAGACTTCTCCTCGACGCTTAGAGTTTGGGTATTGGCTCCGCGCTTGTAGACTTTTTGAGCCGAG